ACTTAGAAGAGGCATCATAAACTATTCTTATTCTTGTTGTTACTTTTCCTTCACGTATAACGGGCCTATGAGGCATATAATAACAGTTAGGTTCATTTTCAACAAACTTACATTGTTCAACAATCCCCTTTTCAACTTGTTCTCTAATTATATTATCATATTCATTATATAGGAAATCATTTCCCTTTAATTTATGCTTTAAGTCCTAGAAATCGTTGTTTAGCAACGAAAAAATTATCAGCGAGTTGTGATTTATTGTCCTTCCAAAAGAGTTTTGTTTCGTACCTGCCGTTATTAAATTTTAAAACTGTCGTTAAAATGCTTAATAGTATCCAAATCAGTTTCCGAAAATGTTTTGTTTTCATTTTCAATTCCTATCGAATCCAATTTCCAAAATGACTGCAAATCAAATGTGTTTTCCTTCAACGGCAGATAAAAACAAACGCATTAATTCGAGTATTATTATTTTTTACTTTACCCATCACTGTGTATCCAAATATGGTCGGTACTATAAACAAACCATCATTTATCATTGAATTACTTCCTGTTTGTATATACCAGAAATGCTCCGCGCCAAGCAGAATATTTATGTTCTCATTAACGGGACTTGTATCCGAAAGTTCCAAGCCCTTTTTAGTCATAAATTCTTTAATGTTTTGACATGTTGATGGCGCCTGGAATTCTATTGATGATATTAATTCTATCCCTATAGCTTCTACAACAAGGCAGCGATCATCGTTTTTATTTTTTATTTTTAGACTATATACATCAAATTCTTGCGAGTTACCGTGCTGATTTCCAAACGAATAAATTGTTAGAAATTCTTTTCTAATGACTTGCAATTCTAAATCGCGCGCTAACTTGTGGGTGATGAAGTTTCATTCACTACCTGAATCAATTAATAATCTTACGATTCTCGATTTATTTTTGCTTTGAGCAATAACAGAACATGTCTGTAAAAGCACACTATTTTCAGGTTTTAGAGTGTTACAGTGGGAAGTAGATACTAAAGTTTTATTTTGCGTATCTGCGGAGTTAACATCTTCCATTTCTTTCGATTTCAAATGGCAGAAAAGTTTATTATGATTTTTGTCGTTACAATTTTCGCATGGTTGTATTTTTGACCTGACAAAACGACCGACAAATGTGATTTTAGAAAGCATCTGTAACAACGACCTTCCTGTTTTTAATTTGTTTCGTTTTTGTTCGTCGGGAAAATTTCAAACATCCGGCAGATGTATGTTCGTTTGATTTGCAGAATATGCAAAACATTTTTACCGATGTGTTAAAAGCAGAAGCTTGTGATTTGACTTTATAATTTTTGAACCCTTGTTTAGGATTAACCCCTGTGTATTTATTACCTTTTGAGCTATTAATCAAAATACTTGCTTCTCGGCATTCAGTTTCGATTTTAATGAACTCTATTAATTCACTTACGTTCTAATATTTTGGTTAGATGTTCTTTTTGGTTAGATGGTCTATGGAATTCAAGAGCTAAATCTTCAGGTAACAATTTAAGAATTATTGGGTTCAATAACTGTCCGTATGAACCGCTAGTAACATCTAAACTACTTAAATTTCTAACGCAGATTTGTAACTGATCATAGAGCTTTCTTAACTCAAAAAATTTTGAAGAACTTTTAACTGGTTCTAACTGCAACAACATCTGCATGAATTTTGATATAATAACATCTTTACGACCAAACCTCTCTTCTAAACTTTTAATACATAGATCATAATTTTCTTCAGATAAAGCATAACCAGAAACACAATTATATGCTGAACCAGATAATAAACTTTTCAAATATGTAAACTTATCTATTTTAGATAAACTTGGATTAGAATGAATAGCATTATCATACGAATTAAAGAATTCGAGCCATTTACTGGGATCACCAGCAAATTTTTCAATATTTAATTTAGGTAACTTTACTGAAGCACTACTTGTAACAACATTATTACCATTCAGAGTACTACTAATACCATTACTAGTTGCAATTATACTTCTTTCAACAACTTCATTACTGTTAATTTTCTTTACTTTACTAACAATCTTAGCTTTAAACGTTATAATTTTTTCATCATATTTCTTCACATACAAGTAGTTCGTTATCATATTCTTTTTCATCAATTATGAGAGCATCGATCTTTGAGTCAAGAGTTTTAAGTTTCTCATGGTATTCAATTAACAATTCATATGATGAATTTAAATCTTCTAGATGTTCTTTACTTAATTCTTCCGATAATAATTTCTCAAGTTTATTTAGAAGTGTAGTAACTTTACTACGTACAATAGCACATTTCTTTTTCTTTTTTGCTAAATCATCCATTATGTTTCGTTTTCAAAGATCGATACCAAGAACAAATAAATCAAATTTCTTACCTTTCAAAAGGTAATTTCCCCTTGTCCCGGGTTTCGGCACCAGAAAAATGTATGTGTGGTTTCTCTCTTCATGAGTCATAAATTCAAAGATCGTTTCGTTTCAGGAGTCAAGGTTGGGAGAGCATTAGAATTTCAAAGCAAAACTTCAAGATTTCTTAGAACATAGAAATAACATTTATTAACGATAAACTTATATTACTTATATTACTTCCGCCTATAGCGGCCATGAAACATAATCAAGCATCAAATAAATATGACATGCGCCATTCTTTATGTTCAAGCGTCAAGGTGATATATATTTTTCATCGGCGCGCATCAAGAGCGCCACCTATCTACCAAAAAGACGGAACAGTGGTTATTATAAATATATAACATTAATAGTAGGTTTTAAGTGAAAAAACTAAATCAGACATAAATAAAAGTAAGGATATATATGTGGGTAAAAAAGTAGAGCTTTTTTGATTATAACAGCATTATCACATTTATTTCTGTTAAATCTCAGAGACATTGAAAATTGCCCCTGTCATGATAAATTATGAAGCGGTTCTTTAGGTAACATAATCAGTATTTTACCTGAACTCAACTATAAATTTATTTGCGTTTTATAGTAAAAAATATAACCATTAACTTTATATCTCCAAGATATGCAAACGAAACACTGTATAAAGTAGTTAATAAATGTGATAATAAATATTTCATACAAAAATATACCTAAATCTAATAACCAAAAAAAGAACTTCCGATATTCATATCTAAAATTAGATAATAACCTAACAAACAACATATATGACAGCACCTTTTAAGAAAAAACATGACCTAGCAGTGTTTGAAAGTATAAATAGCAGAAGGAAGATAACAGAACTAAAATGTCCAGTTAATAAAAAATTGTGTTTTTTAAATAGTAAGCAATAATTATGGATTGCAGTATTTACTAGTAATGCTGATGTTTCTTAACACCCATTTCTTTTGATCATATGTTATTGCATTTACTTATTTTTAGTTTCTACATTTTAGAATGGTGATAGATTTCAATGATTATTTCATGCACTTTATATAATCAATAACTTTTCTTTTGTTATTGTACAGAAATAATATAGTATATGATAGTAAACTAAGTACGTTAAAGTAAGCTCTTTCTTAAATAGCACACGATGAAACTTTTTGTTTCTATTTATTATGAATTTTTTTGTTATTACAATCACATAAAAAGTAAGGGAAGAAAATAGAATGTACTTAAATTTAATAAAAAATAAAACTTAATTTCTAACATTCATTTATTGAGATAATTTAATAAACATACATAACGGCAATGTTTAAAAAACATGAATTACACAGTGTTTGGAAGAATAGATACCAAAGGAATAGTAATAAAATTGCAATTTACAATCAATAAAAAAATTTAGTATTTTTTAATATTACACAAATAAATATCCCATAATTATAGATTACAATATTTCATAGTAATGCTAATGTTTAACACTATTTTTTCAATCATACATTTCATACACTTTAAAATTAACTTTTTTGCATCATTTGTAATGTCAATGTCGCCAAATCATGAGTGTACCATATACTAAGATTAAACCAAGCATTTTTGAATGCATTGAGATGGACAAAAACGTAAAAACATAACAGTTCATCAGAATTTTTATAGGTAATGAATTTCGTATTTTTGTTTGTATGAATGTTTTTATTCAACCGAGCAAGCATTATTTACGTATTTGATTATTGTATCATTCGTTGCTGTGAAAAAAAAAAATTGTTTCAAGTGATAAAACTGTTATACAATTTATCATGAATAATTGAATTCTAGATATGTTTTTCATCTCATCTGTCTGATATGAAAAAAAAAGTCTCAGACTTTTTTGTTTAAACAGAGTACTGTTTTCTGTTTTTGTATACTGTTTTTGTTTAAACAGCAGTACTGTTTTCTTGTTTGTAAAAAAATTAAATTTATTTTTAAGTTAATACCCATTTTGTCATCAACTTAAAAATTTAAAATTATTATTTATATATTTAACAGGTATTCCTAAGTGCATTCTATCATGTGGTAGTTTACAGAAAAGACATAGATATGTTTCATAAAAATGGAGTATGCTTTTCCATTTATTAGAGAATGAAATATTTTTCACAAAAATTGCATATAACTGCTTTGTAAAAATCTGGCTTATATATTTGGAAAATATGTTTAAATTAATTAAGACACAATAACACACCAAACAAATACTAATTCAGAAGTCAAACAACAAAAATCAGCGTTAAATTTTTTAATTTTCACAGGACTAGTTTCGACGGTTTTACCGAACCATCATCCTCAGCTGCAAAAATGCCAATGTCGCCAAATCATAATCGTTTGTTTGCGCTTTTGCAGCTGAGGATGATGGTTCGGTAAAACCATCAAAACTAGTCCTGTGAAAATTTGAAAATATAACGCTGATTTTTGTTTTTTGACTTCTGAATTAGTATGTGTAAATTAGTCTGAAAACTTTTAAAAAATAAAATAGTTTCATACTCTGTATGCTTTTTAAACTTTTTTTTTTTTTTCTTGTGTGTGTGTGTGTATGGTTGGATGGATAGATATTTTATAAGATTTTCATTTGATCTCCCCCTTTTTTAGGCTCAAGTGTTACCATTTCATGTATCTTTGTTAAATGCAGTTAATACGAAGAAAACTCAGAGCTCAGCTCCAGTGGAAATTCCGACTACACAGGGTAATTTTATTCTTTATTTAGAATGCCCTTTGGATATGTACTTACAGTAACTTGTTAGTAGTTACTTATACTTGAAAATGTTAGAACTGCAAAAACTGACAACAAAAGTGATACAGGAAAAAGTCATGAATGCCATCATCAATCAGATCTAGAAAAGCACTGCAAATCTTAAAAAAGGTTCCTGAACTGAAAGATGCTGCTCAAAAATGGTATCAGCAGTTCTATGAAATAGAATTGAAAAACTGTTATTGAGCAACATGAAACAGAGAGAGAGAGAGTACTTGTGAGTGAGAGATAAAATTTCATTAAGAATGTAATTTTAAGAATATTTGTGTAAAAAAAATTAATTGGATTTAGAAATTGTATTAGTAGTTTAAAATTAGTATTAATTTTTAATTACTATTTTACTTGAACAGTTTAAAACTGATATCAGAGTTTGTAACACAAATCACCATCTGTTAAACTCAGATGCTTAATAACTGGAACAATAAAGAAGTGGCACAAATGTTTTTGGAAGGGAGGTGATATTTAATAAGCAGTGGGTGCTAAAAAAGATTTTCTAACATCAGTTTTATATTTTATGCTATTTCTCATATTTCAGTTTCATATATCTGCGTATAACATTTCTGCTTAATAACTTAATTCATTCTGTCTGGCAAACTTAATTTATATAATAATTGTCCAAAGTAATGGAAACACTATGTTTGAAAAAGTCAGTTTTGTTTTTCTTTATTACATGTTCATTGTGCCTTTACAAAATGGAGTTTGAAAGGAAGGAAAAAGAGTGATTTGATTGGGTTTCAAAAAGGTCAGATTGTTGGTGCCTGGATGATTGGTGCATTGTTAGCTTCAGTTGTAAAATTATTGGGGGATATCGAGAGGTATTGCCTTACTAGTATATAATATCCTCAGTAAAACATGGTTTGGGAGGCATGATTGTGGAAGGAAATAAAATTCACTGATGCAGACAAAAAGGCATTAAAGAGGCTTATTCTGTCAGAAAATAAAACTACTGTGACAGAAGTGACTACTAAGCTTAATATGCATCTGCAGAACATAGGAGCAAAGCATATATGAAAGGAATCTCATAAGCACATTTGTAATTGTTTTGTTTCAGAAATAAATTTAAAATAGAGACTGTGGTATCTGAAACATAAAATGTGGAATGTTGATCAATAAAAACTAGAACTGTTCTCAGATGGGTGTACCTTTACACTGTTTACCACTTCAGGACAAGTTTATGTGTAGAGAACTCCAGCAAAAGTTTACAGTCGTTTGTTATCCTGTGCTGAAACACAGTGGTGGTTCAATTATGTTTTTAGCAGTTATATCATGAACTGCAGGTTTTCTAGTAATCATCTCATAAGTTGGTTTATTTGATTATAGAAAAGCATATGAGGGCTATCTCCCAAGAGAAAGGATGCCTTCGTAGAGAACACTTTTTAAGGCAAACTAGCTTGTATACACATTACACCTGAGGGGAAAACCATGAAAATGTCCATGCAGTCACCCCATTCACTGGGATTTGAAGCCCAATCATTTTATAAGAAAATGTATTGTTATCTGCATAACCATTTTAAGCAACCATGTGTTCAGTGGCACAAATATTCTTTCCTACAATTAATTGCGTCATTTAAAACGTTGAAGCCCTCATTCTCGAAAGTCATATTTTTTCAGTTGTAGCTAGCTTAAAGAATATCGACATGAAGTTACATGTCTTTCCAGGCTTTCATTTTCCTGCACAGTAACCAGACTTAAATATCATTCAAGATTCTTACAATCTTTAGGATTTTGGAATGATTTATGATCCTTAAATGTCTGTAATTTTTGCCTAAATCAGTTTAATGTTGTTAATTTTGCTTATTTATTGATTCTGTCTGTTTTTTAAATCATCCATTTTGTGTAAGAATTAAGATTTTGGAGGAATATTTTTGGCAGTTTGTTGACAAATATGTATTTGATGTGATTTTGAATTCGTTTCTTCTAATATAAATGGTGCCATAATCAAATTTCTGGGCACAAGGTCCTACCACAGTGGAAACATAAATATTTCAAAATTGTTTCAGTTTTGCTAATGAAGAGATCATAAAATAGTACATCAAAAACTACTTTTTCCTTTTTGGAAAATAAATATATTTGTTACATGGCGCTAAATTTGGCATTTTATCAACATTTTGGCGATTTTAAAATCAGTTTTGTGCATAAATTTTTGCTTCACAGATTTACGAAATTTTTGATGATTTTTTAAATTTTTTTATTATATAACATTGATTAAGTTAAAACATTTTCATTCCCCCCCCCTTGTAAAGTGACATTATTTTCTGTTTTGCTGGCTTGAGAATATTTTAATTCTGAAAAAAAGCAAGCTAATAAATGAAGCTTCTGAAGCATTTCTTAGCAAAAGCAAAAAAATTCATCCTCACCCTAAGAGTTTTCCTTATGTAATTGTTTCAGAGTATTCAAATGTGTACCAGTTTTCTCTGTAAAATTAAGTTTCCTTTTCTCAATTTCGTTTTCAAAAATCTTCTTGCTTTTTGCTGTTACAGATTTGATAGGGATAACTTTTCTTTTAGATTTTAGACCTTGCACCTCAGAAAGATTTGAAGGCAAGTTTTACAGATATATGACTCCAGAAGATTCCATAAAAAAATTAAAAATGTCTTCATTGTGTTGATATAGACAACGTCATGTTTAATAGACATGCTTTACAGGAAGTCTGTGATGAATTTCTTGTTTTTTGGAGAAAGAATATTGAATTATGTGAATTTTCTATCTTTGATCCTAAAAGTCTCTCTTAACATGATTATCTTCCTTTCATTTCCTCTTCTTTTCACTAGACTGAAGAATGGGAAATTCCAGAAAGTAATTATAATCTTGTCAAATGGTCCGGCTTCCGTAAAAAAGAATTTATCTTGTATGTCTCAGTGCACCATACATGGAGCCGGGACTAAGCATTTTGCTGCCTGGTGTAATTTCTGTGTGTTGTAAATTCTAAATTTTTGTTAACCCTAAATTCTGCTGCACAGTGCCTGTTCTAAATTCCAAAAATTTTGCTATTCCTAAATTTTGTTGTTCAGTGTTTCACTAAATTCTAAACATTTTGGCACACTGGCTCTGGTGTCATCCTTGACGATACAGCATTTCATATTTACTATTAAAGACTCATACTATTAAAAAAATTAAATTAACCCTGTATATTTTAAATACATGAATTTTTTTAGAATAACAGAAAAGCCTGAAAAGTCTAAGTTGAAGAAGAAACTTGTGATGAAGAAATTGATTGCATAAAGAGAAAGAAAATTGTTCTTCAAAAGTGTATTATGTTAAAATATTACCAAACTAGGAGGTGAAGCAGAGACTAGGGGTAACATTCATTTGTTGGCATAGAAAAGATGGTAAAGAAACCTAGAAAGAGCAGAAAGCTGATATAAATTAGCTGAAATATCCTGAAAATTTTCAAATTGAAAAGATGTATAAATATTTTATTGTGTGTTGTGACTATGAAATATGCATTTTGTAGCTTTTAATGTATAATTATCCTAATATCATTTTAGAATCAATGTCATTAATTAAATGTGTAATTATCTGTTGTTATAAATAGAAAATATTCTTAGATTGTGATTTAAATAGTGCTTTCTTAATGAATTTTTTAATAAAAAAATGTTTTAATAGTTACCATGTACTTATATAATGACTAGGATATCTAACTACGTAATTTAATTATTTATAACTAACTGTTCACCCTTAGAAGTTATCTTTCCACAGTAAGGCAAGCTATCACCTTTTCTGATTCCTTGTTTGGGATGCAAGATGCAAAACAAAAATGTGAAAAATAACATAAAAAACTATACCTGACTGCTAGTGTGACTTAGAATAATGCAAAACAACTTATCATCACTGGTACTTCAGTGGCTTATTGTAACTTCACAGTATATTAACCGAGTTACAACTTCATTATTTTTGTGTCAGATAGACAAAGTGCAGCTAATTCTCAACACTTGCCAACTGTTCCTACATCAGATATTCATGTTTGTTCCAATCAGCATCCTTCTCTATCTCTAAACAACCAGCAGTGGTGGCAATAACTAAGCTTCTGTTATGAATCATGCTGGTTATGATGTTGCTTCTCATTTTAATTTATGCCACTTTCCAAATAATCTGCATAAATCTCTGGACTGGGCAATTGGATAATGATATGAGTATGAAAAAATTAAATTTTATAAATTTGGTTTATTTTGTAATTTGTTTTATTATTAAATATTAGATTATGTGCAATAATAGTGCATCCTACTTACAGATCTGTTTTACTATTCAAATAGTATTACAAAAGTTAAGTTTAAACATTAATAATTGCTTTAATTTATTCAATTCCTATTTGTTGATAGATCCTTAATTTTTTCTCATTGATGGTCCTTAATCATTTGGTGGTAACAAGATTAAGAAATTCTTCTTTCTTAAGTACACGCAATAGCTATTGATCATAAATTTGTTTGTTCTCACCCAGTGCAATGCAGAACTGGAATGCGAACTGACCTCCTTGAGGATCAAAGGCCAAAAGTACTTAATTTCCATGGACAGAAATGTGTATGAATACTACTATCAAACTGTTATGGTCTGGAAAATATAAAGTGACATCCCATTTTCTTCTCTCAGCATTTCTGAACAGACTGGCTGCATGGGCATTTTTGTGGTTTTTCTCATGTGTAAAGTTTATGCGAGCTAGTTTTCCTTAGAAAATGCTCCACAAAGGCGTACCTTTCTTAGGTAGATAACCCTTGAGTGCTTTGCTATAGTGATATATGGCCCACCAGTGGCCGAGCGGTAACGTCGCTGAACACTGGTAGTTTGGTCCAAGGTTTGAATCCCGTGAACGGGCTGGCTGCATGGGCGTTTTCGTTGTTTTCCCCATGTGTAACGTGTGTATGAGCCAGTTTCCCTTAGAAAGTCCTCCACAAAGGCATCCATCCCTTAAGGCAGATAACCCTTGAGTGCTTCACCATAATCTAATAATATAAATAAACCATAATCATATAAACCAAAATCTCTAAAAGAACTGGAGCAGTTTGTAATAAAAGAAAGGTACACTGGTCATCAAAATTAAAGGATAATGGCAGAGATAAAACTTAGTTAAGTTTGATCTATAAGTAGGATGGAAATTTCTATTAATAATTGTCCATTAAGAGAAATTTGTACAAAAGCATTAGTTAACATAAATTATAATGTTTGGTAATTGATTGTTCATAAAATATTAAAAATAAAACCAAATTTTTGTCAGTTGGAAAATGATGAAAAAATTAAGTCACCTCTTGTGGGAAAAAACTTTCTTTAATATGATCTATGGTAACTTCAAACAGATATGCATAATTTAATCTTGATTTCTTAGACTTGAATGAAGTGTTGATCAAGGCTCACAGAATTGTTCGCCACTCTGAAAAGTGCACTTTTCAGCTCCTGGAGGATCCAGGGAGGAATTTAGTGACCTGAAATTTAATGTCCTAAGGCATCCTATACATGCTGAATCAGGTTTAAGCCGGATGAGTAACATGGCCAATCCATTCAAGTGATAGCTTGCAAGTATTCTGATTCCATATATGCTCGATGAGGCCATGCATTATCATCCATTTGCAAAAACTCTGGGCCAATAGCACTTTTAAACAGTCTAACTTGCAGTTCCAATACCTAGTTGACATGTCTCTAAGCCGTTACAGAACCTGCTTGAAAGATATACAGCTTGGTGCGGCCATTTGTCATGATTGTCCCAAGCCATTAAGCTGTGACTGCAAAAACGGGATATTTCTTGGATAAGGGAAGGCAAGTTGTGTGTTCTTTCCTCTGTTCAGACTATAGGCCTCATTCAATTGAAACAGCGATCATTGTATCCAGCATTAGCGATCACTTTTGAAAACGAGTGATTTTTCGTATTCATTTGAAACACTTCCCTACCTGTCGAATTCGTAGGGGTTGCCAGAGGTTACTTGATGCGCGATGCTGTTTGTCACGTGGTCGAAAGTTGCGTTCGTTTTGAAATAACCAATGAAAGAGCTATCCATATGTGCAGGTTGACTCCTCGTAACCGTTCTTTAGGGTTGCAGTTCACGTTTGGCGTGCCATCTTTGGCTTTTCGGCGCTATTGTTTCAAAGTATTATCTATGAAAATTCTTCAAATGTATTATTTTATTTTAATTCCTTTATGAAAACAGCTAACCTAAAAGACACATTCCATTCACATAAATCATATACATGTGAAAAATATAGGTCAAGTAAGTTTTGCATACTGAAAAAAAAAAAAAAATGATTCAAAAGACCTTTTAAAGCAAAAGAAAAAAAAAATGTACCTAGTTCTATTAACAACTCAAAAAATACAATGTAATATATTCTAAAAGGAAAACTATATAATACACAATGATGTAGATTACATATATTTAATAAATACATAAAACTCTATAATGACTCTAATGTTCATAACTATATAAAAAAACGCCAACACATATCACATCATGGTACATAACACTGCTATGAAAGAAAGAATTTTTAATTAGAAACATACTTTTTATATTTATTTGATAACATAGACGAATGAAATATAAAGATGACAAGAAGTTATGAAAACATGTTATGCAACTTAAGAAACAGTAAGAAGCCTTTTAAGTTATTGCAATATAAGGCACTGACTAGGAAGTAAATATCATTTTTTGAGTCTTTTACATCAGTAATACTTTTTTAATTAAAAACTTTAGCAGTGAAAGCCAAAACAAATTTATTATTGGCGCCTCTGATGCAAGGTCACACAAAAATAAACTTGATTTAGCAAATTTCTAAAACATTAAAATCAAAAATAGTAAATTACAGTAACATATATTATTAAATTATTTTAATTACACATAAAAAATTGTCTGAATTAAATTAAGAATCACTGACTAAGCTTGTACAGCATTTTAAAACATATTTTATGTTGATACATTGGAAATAAATTGACAGCAATCGCAGTTAAATGAAAGAGCTGGAAATACAGTCTACATGATGTATAAATACAGTCAAAATTATTCGTTAAATACCTAAATTGATGCTTACCTTCTTCAAAATGAATATAAATACGATATATTAATGTTACTTTAAGGGAAACATTATATAATGCATAATTTCAATCATATTATCCAATGTTTACATTTTTTTTTTTTTACATTGGAGGCCGACTGACAGATTTGGCGACAATATAATAAGGTCAAAAAATAACATACGATTTTAAACCATGAATCCCGCATTAAAATTTAAATAAAAAGTGCACTTCATAGTTATAATCACGCACAAAATTGAAATCAAATGTATAATATAATTATTTAAAACTTTGTCCTTTCGCGATAATAACAATAAAGAAAATCACATCAGCATCTACTTATCGCCGTCGGTATCTGTGTATTGACTATACACATTCTGATATTCATTTTGTACATATAAATCAGTTTGTCATTAATTAGCAATACTTAAATGATAATACACATTTCGCTGAAACATGAACACTTATTTTTTTTTAACAATTATGAAAACATACGAAGCTGAACTTACTTCAAAAGCGCACGGTCTTGCGATCGGAATCTATTTCCAATGGACAAGAATTAATTACCCATTTTCTTCGTATTTCTTCATTTCTCGGGAAATGGAACATACTAAAGTTATTTCTGGAACGATATGAATAATTTGATGCAGTGCATCCACGCATATTTCTCTGAATTAGGTAGCAATCCATCAACACAAATGTAAACAACACAACGCTAAATCAATGTCCACTAGCAACAAGTGCACTTAATTTGGATACAACACAGATGATGTGTCGGCTGCCCTTGCTAGGATCCTTATACACCCTATACTTTTATATAAGTTGCTGCTCACTCAGCAGATCTAAAGCATTTTCTTTAGCACACTTGATTTCTGTCCTCGTGAAAGCACAAACAACACAGCCGCCATATTGATTTGATCGTTTTTCGCCGCGGAATGATGGGTTCCAAGTGATCACTATGAGAACGAGCGATCACGAGCTCAGAGTGATCGTTGTGTTTCAATTGAATACCAAAACAGCAAAATCAATCGCAACTGATGACGTATGACGACTAACAATCACTAAATGTTTCAAATGAATGAGGCCTTATATCTGGACTCATCAGTAAACAATACTCAGGCCCATTCATCTTGGCTTCATTGAACATGACGATGACACCAGTTTAAACAGGCCCCTCTGGAAGCTGGAGCAAGAGGGATGCAAACCATTGGTTTTCTTGCATTCAGTCTGACCTTATTAAGCTTTCATGCAGCAGTAGAATGGCTAATTTGAATTCCTGTGGTAGCCTGAAGGTCTAAATCCAAATCTCTTTTAAATGCTTTGCAATTTCTCTGAGCTCACAATGACAGAAAACAGTCCTATGATGCAGTTGCTGCTCTTGGCCCTTGACCAGGCTGTCTGTCAACTGATCCAGAGCTTAAAAAAGCCCCTCCAAACTCTTTATATGACACTTTAAGGGATATTCAAATTTTAGGCAACTACCATTTGTGTTTGACCTTCCTTGATTTCGCCATTTTTGACCTTCACTTAACCTTTCAGCCATAACTATTGAATACTGATCACTCTCAGAAACCACATTCATTTTAAAGAACACTACAAACTGGAATTCCAACATGCATCTATTGTACATCACATTGTCAGTCACCGAATTTGCATATTTCCATCACTAACATATGACCGGAAGGGCAGTTTTGTGTTTAGTTGTATTTAATTAACTTAAATAATTACAGCATTGGGCATTGGTTGCAACATTACCTTAGTGAGCTTATTTTTTTCTTGTTATCCTTTAATTTTGATGACCAGTGTATAAAATGCTCATTGAGAACCAGTCTGTCTCCTTTCTAAAAACATTTTAAGCTGCTTTGGATGCCAAAAGTGCGTGAACCATATTAGACATACATTTCTTCATATTTTTAGGTGTTTCCTGTATTTTGAGGAAACCCTGTATTTGACTGTTAGTTTAAATTGACATATTTTAATATATTATTTCTAATTTAATCATATGTAGGTAACTTCAATCAAAGTGCTTCCATCCCTAAAGACTATTCATCTTTTGACAGCTTTTCTGATAGTCAAGAACAATTTAAAGAAGAGGTAAATGAATATAATGACATGTAATTGATCTAAAATGACTTTGCAAATTATTTTTAACAAACTTTAAAAACTGGTATTTCTGAATACTAATGAAATTTAAAATTAGTCAATTTTAGTTATCCTTAATAATTTTAAAAGTATGGTATAAAGGAATTATAATATAATGTGTTTTACATATCAGTGGATTCCTTTCCTATGAAATATTCATTAGTAATTTCATTGCATCATTTTAATTATTTTTAATACTTGATGGGAAAATGGATTTGCTGCATTCATGGTTTTTTACTTTTTGCATATGTGGCATAAATGCAGTGAGCAGTCAAAAAGTTAGTTGCATTTGAATGAAATGCGTAACAGTTTTTTTTTTTTTTTTTTTTTTTTTTTTTTTTTTTTTTTTTTTTTTTTAACATTAAAGTATTCAACCAAAATGACTAGTGTACATGATTTTCTTCAAAATGTATTGCTATGTAACACAAGTTTATGTGCCCTTTGCTCGAAGAATTACATACAGTTTCCAATAATTATCCTTTGTTGCTGTTCTGATTTCGTCTTCAACATGATTCACTCGTGTCGACTTTAGGGATAGTGTCTTCCAAGATTTTACATCCTTCATAGCATGCACTGAATGTGCTTTTGCATTGTTGTAAAGAAGCATGAAGCATTTTTTAGTTTTCCTGCTGTCAGTCTTTCACCTCTTTTTTTTTTTTTTTTTTCCTTTTTTTAGAGGTTCATAAGAGGTTGTGATAATCATGGATCCCTTAAGCATGTACAGTCAAAAGTTGTTAATTCGGACACCCATAATCCGGAATGATCTATAATCCGGCTCTCAAAGCTAAAAACTTTCTGTGCATGCGCTGCATTGGCACATGCGCATAGGCGTTTACGCATGCGTGTAAGACCTTTACGACTGCGCATATGCGTGTGCACAAGTGCAGAATATGTTTTCGTGTGCGCGTTTAATGTATAACGGACGGTTTGAGCTAAAATTATCTAATTATCTATTTCAGTTAATGTTGATGATTGCGTTGTTCCTTAATCTTCAAACTGGATGCGCCTTATTACTTTTTTCAGACTGTAAAAGCAATTTTATAAAAGTAAACTTGAACTTTCGATTATGTGAAATAGAATTTCCGATGCTGGAGCTCCCAAAGGATCTACAAAACAAAAGTACGTTTCGATGTCCATCAAACAAAAAGTGGAATTGCTGCAAAAAATGGATAAAGACATGAAGAAGGTGATAGAGAGGTTAGTGAAAACGAAAAAATTTCGATTGACAAGTTAGTCGGTATTCTCGGTACAGCAATTACGGGACTTGAACAGCGGAACTTTGTAACTGAACAAGAAATTATGTCTGTTTATAGAATTAAAGAGAAAGCATTATCACATAAAACGAAACAACATACATTAAAAGAAATGTTTAATAAAGTAAACAAATCAATATTAAACTTTTTTTTTTTTTGTAAATTTTGATACCCTTTAGATCATAATTGTTCTTTATTTCATAAATTGCGGTTTCATATTTTTAATTTTAGAATATCTGCATGCCATCTTGCGAGATTTAAACTGATGATCTATAATCCGGAATTGAAGTCCCGTCCGGATTAACGACTTTTGACTGTATTCTGTATGAATAACATCTTCGTAGTTGAAGAAAATGGCCACCACCTTTCTGACAGATGGAATCGTTCATTACTTATTTGGAATGGAGGATTAGGAGGCTTTCCATTTATGTAAACCTTTCCTTTTGGCTGATGGACCATCTCCGATCATGGTTTTCTCCAAAATGTCAGTTTCTTCTTTCACATAATAATCTAAAAATGTGAGAGTTATTTGGAGATGTTCTCTTATGCTGGTTTTCAGACTTAGTGATTCAGTATTATTTTCTTCCATAATTTTACTTAAGCGAAGCTCTATTAAGTCAAATTTTATTGTTCATAAAGTTCTCTTTTCTAGAAGTATATATACTCTTTATATAATTGTATTGGTATTTACATATTATCCCATCAACCATGAAAAGTTGGGGAAGATCCCTCCAAAGTTGCACCAGTCGTTCATGTGAAATTCTGAACTATACTTCCATCTCCTGCTTTTACGATAAAGCATAGCCAGTCTGTGCGCACAGTCCATGTATGTGACAGCATTCAACCCTCTTCGTTCTCATTTATGCTTCATAAAAAGGCTTTTGTTGATTTCTATTGATTTGTTAGGCCCTCCGATTTTACCAAAAGCTATCTTTAGAACACTATGAGTACAAACTTCCTGTACGTGATTGTTTGGGTAAAAAAATATGTGTCTTCAAATTTAATTTTGCTGCATGTAAAATATATAGTAATAAAATTACGTTATGCGTTAAAATTGTAACCTTCCAAAGTATAACAAAAATGCAAAAGAAAAAGTTAAAAACCAGTAATTAACAAAAGTGAAGTAGCAAATCCATATAGCCAAAATACTAGAACAGTTAGATTTAACTAGTTTTACTCTTGTCAGGCAGATGGACAAAAATAATTGAATTTTCCATTTTAATTAAATGAAAGGACAGATCAATTTTTCTGATACTATGCAATTTTCAAACCAAAAAAGCAATGCTAGAAGTGTAGCACCATCCACCCATATCGATCTGAACAACTGAAAAATATTTTTACAAAACTAAGACATAAAATGAAGCATTTTCTTCAAAATGCAGAGTATCTGTGAACTCTGAAAATATACAGTAGACTCCTGAGTTTCCGGCCTAATGTGCAGAAGAGCAGGGCAGATAACAAAAACTGGATAGGCCAGAGTTCTCCGAACTCATTTCTTTGCCCCACCAATACCAGGCCTCCCAAGTCCTGCTATGCTGCCTAAACGTGGTGGTACATCGGGAGCATAGCTCCTGGTAAGGCCACCTGAGGCGTGAAGGCCATTCTAACATGCCCAGCTGAAGCATAGCAGGTGAAGATCCTTCAAAGAATTACCGTCTTGGTGATCGGGTTTCACAATCCTGGAGTTCCAGTGATCTTTCCTCCTTTATGCCTCTTCTCCTCTTCACTGCAACTTTTTCCGTTTTCCTTCTCCCATGTGGTTTCCTCTTCCGAGGTTCGGGCTCGTCATAAGAAACTGGAACAGCCTTGTCCCTAGTTCTTCGAGTGGCGAGAAAACTGCCCACGTGTTTGCCGTGCGGGGGAGACGCATGTCACTGGAAAGAAGGGTCCTGGTAGTTGAGGGGCGAGGTACTGTCCCCAACACACTGCTTTGACCTCTGCTTCAGTTAAACGGGAGGCGCCTTGTCGTCCTCACGGGTGTCAATCGGCCGGTCACTAGTCCTTGTGTCGGTGGCTTGGGGACAAGCTCTCGGGAGTACCTGCTTTTGGGAAAGCCGACTGTAGGACTTTAGATTGCGTATAGGTCCGGCTAGCCCTGGCGTAGGAATCTGCGTCCCCTTGTTGGGCTCCGTGGTGGGTGGGGCGGTCGGACCCGAATCTTTCTCCATTTAAATATGAATGCTATGATACCTTCCTGCTCCAACAATGTACCCGATACTCCGACTGTGACTAAAAGACTAAGAAGAAACATAGAAAGCACTGCATCAGATGTACTTTGTCCACGTTTCTTAATTATAACCAGCTCTGAAGAATTGAAAAAAAATATCACCCTTTCTAATAAACAAACATCTTTTGTCTTTTGTGTAGGAGGACTGAAAAATATTAAGAGACTTCAATCTGGAGACCTTTTGATAGAAACTGCGTCTGGAAAGTAGTCTAATTGTCTTTTGAAACTAACTAAATTAGGACAAGCTAACATTGTAGTTAAGCTACATAACACTCTAAATTATTCCCGAGGAGTAATCTCTGAAATAGACTTACTGTCAGTAACTGAAGAGGAATTTGTTAAAGAGTTGGCAGATCAAAACATGTGTGGTGCTTGTAGGATCAAGATAAGGAAAGAAGGTCAACTTTTTCCCACTAAACATGTTATACTTACTTTCAAGTCTCCTAACCTGCCTAAACACATCAAAGCTGGATACCTAAACTGTTCAGTCAGACCATATATACCGAATCAATGCGTTGCTTTCAATGTCAGCGCTTTGGACATGGAAAGACCTCTTGTCGCAGTAACCTCACGTGCACTCGATGTTCCATCATAGGCCATGCTAGTGAAGGCTGCTCTGCTGCCCCCTTATGTATAAACTGTAAAGGCGAGCATCCAGCTTTTTCAAGATCATGTCCAAAATGGCAGACAGAAAAACAAATTCAAAACATTAAAGTTAAGGCCCGTCCACACGACTACGCTCGAAACGTAGCTGACGAACGTGCTTTTATGTTACCAGTGAAAAAACGTCCAGACGAGTATGCTTGCAAAGAGTGTGTTTAACCAATAGAATTATTTTGCACAAAAATCACGTGCCGCTTTATTATAGCGTTACCAGAATTATTAAATTCCTACTATTAGCTCACACTCTCCATATATCTTGTTCAAATTTTCAGTCGTTAATAAAATACTTTTGTTTCATCCACTCAAGTTCAAATACAACAATTTTTGAAACTTGTAGTGGATGACACTTGATGTTAATACAGCTTTTTCACATATTAAAATTTTTTTTTAATTTGTAATTTTAAAAAAATTCTGTTTGTATTTTTAATTTTTTATTATTTTTTTAATTTTTTCTTTGTGGACCTAAGTAAGAATTGAATTAATTTTTTTGTATATTACTTGTTTTTTAATTATTTCAGGATGAGTATTGACCAGTTTGACCGACATGCAGATTCTATATTGTATGAAAATTAGGATTTATAAAATTGGTTTGGAATACAGTGTATAAAGAGAATTAAATTACTTAATTTTCTTTATATACACCATCACCATATAATAAAACCAACTTCATATTTTTTAAACTCCCCCTCCCTTGGTCTTTTGTTTTTCCTTTTATTTATTTTTGAATTTAGAATGAGGTTCAAATTTTGGACAGTTTATGAGAAATTATGTGCATGATAAAATATGCAATAAAGTAAAATTAAAGAGAT